TAGAAATTTATAATTTGCACAACTGCTAATCACGTTAAACAAACACGAGGAAGGAACGCAAGCAGCCAGAAAGATATCTCAAATCCATCTGTGCATGTTTGGTACTGGTGCGTTTAAAGAATAATTCCAGATTAAATGACCAATTTTATAACCTCAAATGATGGCGATCTATCCACCAAACCCCTTGTTTCCGTTCACACAAGTCTAGCAAATAAATGGAGCTGAGTTATAAAAGCAATAGGCAGGCCACATCTGAGATAGCCTCACAAAATGTTGCTCTCAGTTTTCCAGGATGTGAATTTGGGTCAGTACTAATAGTCTGACCGACGGCCCATTTAAGTTGGTGGATGTGTGTGTTTAAGCTTAAATATCTCTGTTGACTTCAATGAAATGGGATCAGTAAATATTCTGCTTAACTGGGTTGTGGGTTGGGCTGGTAGGCAGCACATCCAAATCTGTGGGTTGTATCATCTAAAATGACTTAACAAAACTGTGACCAGCAATTCCAGCTCTTAAACATTCATTCTGAAATGCTTAATGTGGGTTGCAGCTGTGGCCAGCGGTCAAAGAAAATAATAACTTCAGCTCGTTTTTTTTTCTTTTTTTTACCAGCATAATATTTTAATCTAAACTGTTATTTTTAAAGGAGAAAATGTTGTTTTTTCTGGAGAGATAGGAGCAATATATATTCCGTTCCTTCGATTTCCCCCTTTCAGAGTTTATATAACAAAGGGCTAAACTCATTTCATGGTGGTGAAGCTGGAGTAAATTGTGGTACGTTCCACATGCAAAGAAAATAACAGATACACAGGAACCAGGAAGGGCATGACACCTGACATCGCTTCTGGATGATTCTGAGTCAGTAACCAGGAAACAGAAAGCTGTGGTTTGCCTGAAACAGTATTTCCCAACAGTGTGGGCTCTATCATTAGACAGGGGGAAGTGGCTGCCTCAGGCAGCAGTATTTGGGTATCATGAAAGGGCAACAGACACCATACATTTAAAGTATATTTAATGCACATTGCTTCCACCAAACAATTCTGGGAACTGTACTTTACCTCTGACAGGGCTCCAGCACCCAGAACCATAACAAATTACAGTACCAAGGTTTCTTCGCAGGTGTCTTTTTATTTTTTTATTTTTTGTATATAGACATACTTGTTTTAAAAACTGTTGACTTCGGCAATGTTTCAATACAGTGGTACCTTGGTTCTCAAATGCCTTGGTACTCAAACAACTTGGAACCCAAACACTGCAAATCCAGAAATAAGTGTTCTAGTTTGCAAACTTTTTTGGAAGCTGAACGTGCTCCATTTGAGTGTTATGCTTCTGATTTGAGTGCCGCGCCGCACTTCCGTTTTGAGTGTTACGCTGAGGTCTGTCTGTTTTTGCTTTTTAATCTGTGTTTTTGTTTTTGCGGCTTTTGTTTTTGTGATTCTGTGGAACAGGTGTTCTACTCTAGTGCAGTCATCTTCAGCTGGTGGCTCAGAAACCACTACCAGCTTGTAGCCTAAGTTCGGTTAAAACAGTGGCACTACCAGAATTTTATGAAAAATTTTACACATCACTTGGGAAGACAGGCGAACTAATGCCAGTGTACTGGAAGAAGCAAAGACCCCCAGTGTCAAAGCAATGATTCTTCAACATCAACTTTGTTGGACTGGTTATGTTGTGTGGATGCCTGATTATCATCTTCCAAAGCTACTACTCTTTTCTGAACTTAAAAATGGAAAGTGTAATGCTGGTGGTCAGCAAAAGAGGTTTAAAGACTCTCTCAATGCAAATCTTTAAAAAATGTAGTATAAAACCAACAACTGGGAAACACTGGCCTGCGAGCACTCCGATAGGAGCACAACCTTTACCAAAGGTGTCATAGGCTTTGAAGATGCTTGAACTCAGGATGAAAGGGAGAAACACGCTAAGAGGAAGGCACGCTTGGCAAACCCTCACCATGACCAACTCCCGCCCGGAAACCTATGTCCCCACTGTGGAAGGACGTGTGGATCCAGAATTGGCCTCCGCAGTCACTTACTGACTCACTGTTAAAATCATGTTCACGGAAGACAATCTTACTCAGCTACGAGTGATCGCCAAAGAAGAAGACTTCCAAACTTCCAAAAGATTTTAACATGGGGTCATTCCTGCCAAACATGTTCATGGAAGACAATCTTACTTGGCTATGAGTGATTGCCAAAGAAGAAACTACCAGACCCTCTGAATGTCCCTATTTTCCAGGGACAGTCCGAGATTTAAAGAAACCATCCCGGTTTCTGATTTGATCCTGGAATGTCCCACTTTTCCTTAGGATGTCTCTATTTTCATTGGAGAAATGTTGGCGGGTATGTAGTTATGTGACCCCCGAGCCAAGGAGATAAGTAACTATGCAACCTTTAGAAGACATCTGAAGGCAGCCCTGTATAGTTTTATTATGTTTTTATATATATTTTGGAAGCTGCCCAGAGTGACTGGGGCAACCCAGTCAAATGGCCGGGGTATAAATAATAAAATTGTTATTGTTGTTATTATTGAATAAGAGGTCCCTATTTTCATTGGAGAAATGTTGGAGGGTCTTCACTACCACCATACCAATTCTTGGTGAGAAATTCAAGAAATGGGTCCTCAAATGTGTGTTTGTGTTAAAGGCAGGTTTGGGCTTGAAAAGGCTGAAGACTGCTGCTCCAGTGTCTTACGAAATCTTTGGGAATCCACCAAATTCGGTAATAACATGATGAGACTAATTTATTTCTTGACAAGCACCAAGGCAGTATACATTTTTTCCTGGATGCACACCCTCAAAGAATCTCTGCAGGAAGTTGAGGGCTTTCCCTCTTCATTATATTATTATCTTAATCCCGGCTGCTGGAGTTTGTCATAGATGTTGCTGATAATAATTACCACATCTCTTCACTGTCTAGGAGTTCGGAAGTCAGATTTCCCCTCTCACCCCACCCCCTCCAAACTTTACATCATCCTTCTCACTTGGAAAACTCTTCCTTTCTTTATAGGCCGTCTGTTGCGAAATGCTTTAGTCATCTCCGTGCCTCCAGCCTCCCTCACATCTCCCCGTTGACTTCAAAGAGCTAGCTTGCGTGATGCGGGGTTCATCCATGACAGTGAGATTTACACAACCTGACCCTACTGTCCATTGATGTAAAGGAGGCGCTTTATGGAGTCTCCGTGAAGCCGGTCGTAAAAATCCCAGCCAGCCTGGCCTGATTAATGACCAGTTTCATAGCTGATTAACATAGTCAAAAACCGTTTTGTGGGCTATAGTTGTAACGCACAGGAAAATCTGCTAATTCACAAAACTGCTCCAGGCAAGCTTTAAATGACCGCCCAGCGACAAACAGAACGCTTCTTGTGTGACTTTTCTTCTGTCTGGAAATGGAGATTCACCTACCAACAATATTCTTGTGCAATAAACAAATTTAGCCCCCTGAGGTATTCCTTGTGTGGAAAATCGAATCTGGTCATCAGTGGCTTATTGTAGCAATTGCTTGTGATTAAAATTATTTGTGTTTTGAAGTAGTGGGACGTTATTCAGATTGAGGAAGGCATTCTATTACCAGCAACCTTACAGGGCCTCTATGATATAGCCATATGATAATAATAATAATAATAATAATAATAATAATAATAATAATAATATAATAATTTATTATTTATACCCCGCCCATCTGGCTGAGTTTCCCCATCCACTCTGGGCGACTCCCAATCAAGTGTTAAAAACAGTACAGCATTAAATATTTAAAACTTCCCTGAACAGGGCTGCCTTCAGATGCCTTTTAAAGATAGGATAGCTGCTTATTTCCTTCACATCTGAAGGGAGGGTGTTCCACAGGGTGGGCGCCACTACCGAGAAGGCCCTTGGCACTGGACCTCAGTGACCGGGCTGAACGATGGGGGTGGAGACGTTCCTTCAGGTATACAGGACCGAGGCCGTTTAGGGCTTTAAAGGTCAGCACCAACACTTTGAATTGTGCTCGGAAACGTCCTGGGAGCCAATGCAGATCTCTCAGGACTGGTGTTATGTGGTCTCGGCGGCCACTCCCAGTCACCAGTCTAGCTGCCGCATTGTGGATTAATTGCAGTTTCCAAGTCACCTTCAAAGGTAGCCCCACGTAGAGCGCATTGCAGTAGTCCAAGCAGGAGATAACTAGAGCATGCACCACTCTGGCGAGACAGTCCGCGGGCAGGTAGGGTCTTAGCCGGCGTACCAGGTGGAGCTGGTAGACAGCAGCCCTGGACATAGAATTATAAGCCCATTCACCTCCCGTTCTGCAGATTCAGCAGCTGTAGCCATAGGCGCCAGCTCTATGGGGCTGAGGACACCTCAGCCTCCCCAAAATATATTGTAACAGGGCTGAGGCACCCCCCCCCCCGATCTTGAGCGGTTGGGCCTCCCCGCAGAATCAGTGGACCTTGTAGTCTTTTCCCACTGCAAGACGTCACATGTGTGCCTGACATCACGTGGGCATGATGGGGTCTTCCAAAGTTGGGCAGAACTCAGCACCGATGGCCGTAGTTCAGTGGCAGAGCTCCAGGTCTGAGATTCAATTCCTGGCAACTCTTGGTAGAGCTGGGAAAGAAGAGCCCAGTCTGGAGAGATTCTGCACCCAACACAGACAATACTAAATTAGATGGACTGTTGATCTGGTATGTAAGGCACTGGTGCTGTCTTCAGGAGGATCAAAATGATTGGGAGAAGGGTCATGACTCAGTGGCAGAGTAGATACCGTGTGCAAAAGGTCTCAGGTTCAGGCTTAGCATCTTCAGGTCAGGCTGAGTAAGATTCCTGTCTGACTCTCTGAACAGGTGCTGCCATTTAGTGAAGACCAAGGGTGTCTAACCTTTGGCCTCCAGGAGTTATTGAACTACAAATCCCATCATCTCTGACCATTGGCTATGCTGGATGTGTGTGGCTGATGGGAGCTGGAGTCTAACCACATCAATAGACAGTGCTGAGGTAGACAGACCAATGATCTTACTCAATATATAAGGCAGCTGGGTAACTCAGTTGGTTGGCATGTGGTGCTGAGAACGCCAAGGTTGCAGGTTCGATCCCCGTAAGGGGCAGGTGCATATTCCTGCACTGCAGGGGGTTGGACTAGATGATCGTCAGGGTCCCTTCCAATTCTAGGATTTTGATTCCTACGCTCCTAAAGCTGGGAAAGTCTGGTCACTGATTATGGGGCTGTATATTAAGCCTGTTTTTGGAAGTGTTGGGGGATTGGGGTGAGTGAAGACTTCTGAAGTTCCAGTTTGGTGATAAAAGTGCTGAACTGGAATCAGAAAGCGATTCCAAATAATTCTGCTATATGATATGTGTTTTTGTTTAAAGGTCAGGTAGATTTCCGGTGGTGTGTTAACATGTTTGGGCAAGAAAGCTGCGAGTAATGCTTAATCATCGCCTGTGCCAATTACATTAGTCTACATTGACTCTTGAACATTTGCGTGTGTGTTTTTTTAAAAAACAAACAAACCCGGAAAGCTGCTGTTTCCAGTAATCAGATTCACTAGCCAGACACCAGCACCAGTGTTTTAGAGATTAGGGTGAAGGTGATAATCACAGGTAACTTCAGCCCAGACCCTGAGGGAATCAAGGGTGATGGAGGTGGAAGAGAATCAACAGATAAGGGAAAGGAAGAGACACAGAGTCATAGGCTGGAAGTGTATCCTGTGTGTGTGTGTATGTGTGTGTGTGTGTGTGGTTTGTAACTAGAAATGCAGAGGTGTATAAAATTATGTATGGCTAGAGAAACAAAGGGATGTGGGTGGCGCTGTGGGTTAAACCACCGAGCCTAGGGCTTGCCGATCAGAGGGTCGGCGGTTCGAATCCCCGCGATGGAGTGAGCTCCCGTTGCTCAGTCCATGCTCCTGCCAACCTAGCAGTTCGAAAGCACATCAAAAGTGCAAGTAGAAAAATAGGTACCACTCCAGCAGGAAGGTAAACGGCGTTTTCATGCGCTGCTCTGGTTCGCCAGAAGCGGCTTAGTCATGCTGGCCACATGACCCAGAAGCTGTATGCTGGCTCCCTTGGCCAATAAAGCGAGATGAACGCCGCAACCCCAGAGTCGTCTGCAACTGGACCTAATGGTCAGGGGTCCCTTTACATTTACCTTTACCTTTAGAGAAACAAATGTTCTTCTCCCTCTGTCATAAAACCAGAACTTGGGGCCAGCCAATGAAGCCGAATGCTGGTATATTCGGAACTGAGAGAGGGAGGCCGTTCTTCACACAGTGCAGCAGGGATGTTGTGTTTGCCAGAATGGGGATGGAGCTGGACAAAAGGCAATGGAGAGCACTAGGATGGCAGCATCAGCATCCTGTAGGTGTGCAAGCACCTGCACAGGGGCTTGCAAAAATTAACCCCTCCCTTTCCCCTTTATGTTGGGAGGGTTACGGAAAACCTGGTTCATTGATTCATGTTTGGTGGGAGTGACCCCATGTTTAAAACTTTTGGAAGTTTGGAACTCTTCTTCTTTGGCGATCGCTCGTAGCTGAGTAAGATTGTCTTCCATGAACACGATTTTAACAGTGAGTTTGTAAGTGACTGTGGAGGCCAGTTCTGGATCCACATGTCCTTCCACAGTGGGGACATTGGTTTTGGGGTGGGAGTTGATCATGGTGAGGATTTGCCAAATGTGCCTTCTTCTTAGTGCGTTTCTTCCTTTTGTCCTGAGTTCAAGTATCTTCAAAACCCAAGACACCTTTGGTAAAGGCTGTTCTCCAGTTGGAGCGCTTGCAGGCCAGTGTTTCCCAGTTGTCGGTGTTTATACTACATTTTTAAAGATTTGCCTTGAGACAGTCTTTAAACCTCTTTTGTTGACCACCAGCATTACGTTTTCCATTTTTAAGTTCAGAATAGTGTAGTTGCTTTGGACGACGATAATCAGGCATCCGAACACTATGGCCAGTCCAATGAAGTTGATGTTGAAGAATCGTTGCTTTGACACTGGTGATCTTTGCTTAATAAAGCATTCTCCATTATACCTGCAATTCTCCCCCTTTCTCCAAGTCCTGCCTTAGCCCAGCTATCTTTAGACATAGACTAAGGCTCCACCGTGCATCACAAAGAACTAAAAGGCTTCTTACTGTCCGCAGCATGATTAGTGATAGCTCAACAGTGAGCGACCAGGATTTTGAGGGTCCTTTGGCATGGCAACCTCAGTGGCCCTCTTAGCTGGGTGCTGTCCATCTTGCACTAACTCATGACAAGGCCTTCTCGGAGGTGGTTCCCTGTTTGTGACATGTCATCCCTAGTGAGGCGCATCCGTCCCCCTCATTATTAGCATTCAGGAGTAATTTAAAACATCTTTGTTCACCCATATATTCATTGGCTGAAAGATACAGTTCCTGGCAACCTTGAAATTATTAGCTGCAGGGACAGGTGACTGATCTTAAATGGTTTCAGGTGTTCCTGATGTTTTAGAATGTCTGCAAAGTCTTTATGCTTTTTATTTTTTATTGCATTGTTTTGCTGCAAAGAGGTAGAGTATGGAAATTCTCCAGCGCAGCACCTAATCTTCTTGGATACTCTTTGCAAACGTGTTGGGGTTGCGGGTTCCCTGCTTGCTTGAGGCCCTGGCAAATGCTCAGCTGTACCACTTCCCGAAGCCAGTCCTAAGTGCGTAAATACCAAGTGACTCAGCCCAAGTCTAAATCTTGGCAAATCCAAAAGCAACAAAAGGAGAGATGGGAATGGTCAGTCGGCTGTGTCCAAAGGCATAATTGTTATAAACAGAGCTGGGGACTGAAAAATAAATAGACTTTCTCTGCTGCTAAGCTCCGTCAACGAGAATGGAACAATGGCCTAGGATGAGGACAGACGGCAGCCCCTTCCTAAACACCACCTTCTGACGCAGCCAGGACCTCCACCACAGGGTCCAAAACGTGTAGAGCAAAACATGCATTTCTGATCATTTCTCTCACAGTAGGTCCTGGGAACCTGGCTTACATCAGACACAGTACAGTGGTATCTCGGGTTACAGACGCTTCAGGTTACAGACTCCGCTAACCCAGAAATAGTACCTCAGGTTAAGAACTTTGCTTCAGGTTGAGATCAGAAATTGTGCAGCGGCGGCAGCAGGAGGCCCCATTAGCTAAAGTGGTGCTACAGGTTAAGAACAGTTTCAGGTTAAGAACGGACCTCCGGAACGAATTAAGTTCTTAACTGAGGTACCACTGTATTATTATTATTTTTTATGAGGAAATTATTTCTTCTTCAGTTAAATGCAAGTCACTCAGCTAATACAGAGGGAGTCTATATTCTTATATTACTGAGTCCAGGCTCAGATGTTTTTCTTGTATCATTGTGAATTTTATTTTGCATCAGGTGCAGAGGTGTGCTAAAAGATTGGATGGATTGTATAGCAAAGCAATTTTAGGGCATCCAAAGAACACAGAAAGCAGCCTTATACCGAGTTGGACCCAAGAATTAATGTTTTACATTTAAGGGCCATGTGAGCTAGAGTTTCCACCAGGTGGGCATTGCATGGGCAGATCCTATCTCCTTCTGCCATACCCACAAACCTACCCCTACGTGATAAATGGGAACCACACCGGGGTGAAGGCATCCTCCTTTTAAAAAAATTTATACTTTTCAGATATATACATTTCACTGATTTTATAGTCATTTTGACATTTTGAAACTTGACTTCCTTCCCCCCTCCCCCCTCTCTCCCCCCAAATTCTTTGCTTATTTATCTGTTTTGCAACACAAGAAAATCTTTAATAAAAACTAATTTAAAAAAGAGAGAGGATAAGACAAATCCATGGAAGTGTAATAAACAAAAATCTGCCCTTATTCCCTTATGGAGGACACAAGAGCCCTTATAGAGTCCTTTGTAGGTTCTCCATCGGTCGGAGAAAATAACAGATGCCAGCCAGAGAATATTGAGAAGCAAAGCAGCTCGTAAGCCTGATCTTTATTGAACTGTTGCAACAGGGTGCTCCCTTCCGGTAAGTTTCGCCATTTCTGCATATTCCACCAGTTTTTGTATCCATTCTTCCTTTGTTGGGACTTCTTCTAGGGGTGAAGGCACCCTCCTCTGTCCCCGTGCTAGTTTGAGTTGGTTAGCTTTTCTAGTAGGGTGGTTTCCCATACATTTGGGCAAACGTGGTCCATGTTCACTCCTCTGAAAAGTATCTACAGATGGTACCTAACACCAAGGAAGTGGTCTTACCCCCTTTTAAAGCCATTCAGGCTGGTGGCCGTAACTGCCTCTTGCGGGAGCTAGTTTGACAATACACTGCTGTACTGAAGCACTTTCTTTTATCTGTCTCAAATCTTAAGAAGCATGTAAGCCTAATACTCACTGCAGATGGTGACAGTAGTCACGAAATTAAAAGACGCCTGCTTCTTGGGAGAAAAGCAATGACATACCTAGACAGCATCCTAAAAAGCAGAGACATCACCTTGCCAACAAAGGTCCGTATAGTGAAAGCTATGGTTTTCCCAGTAGTGATGTATGGAAGTGAGAGCTGGACCATAAAGAAGGCTGATCGCCAAAGAATGGATGCTTTTGAATTATGGTGTTGGAGGAGACTCTTGAGAGTCCCATGGACTGCAAGAAGATCAAACCTCTCCATTCTTAAGGAAATCAGCCCTGAGTGCTCACTGGAAGGACAGATCGTGAAGCTGAGGCTCCAATACTTTGGCCACCTCATGAGAAGAGAAGACTCCCTGGAAAAGTCCCTGATGTTGGGAAAGATGGAGGGCACAAGGAGAAGGGGACGACAGAGGACGAGATGGTTGGACAGTGTTCTCGAAGCTACCAGCATGAGTCTGACCAAACTGCGGGAGGCAGTGGAAGACAGGAGTGCCTGGTGTGCTCTGGTCCATGGGGTCACGAAGAGTCGGACACGACTAAATGACTAAACAACAACAAAAAGCCTAATGCGTGCTGTGGCTCGTTCACATCATGCACCTGGACCATTATCTTTCAGAGGCATCACTGCAATGTGCTTCAGAAGTCCATCGTTTTGTAATACCCTTAGCTCCTTGATGCTGACTTTCTTACCGGTAGGGTTTCAACACATATACTATTGGGTAATGATGGCAAACAGAAAGCTTTTCTCAG